AGGAACACAGAATCACTGATGATATTATGCCGTAACAACTCCTGTTGTAACACAACAGAGGGTCCTAGGTGGAATGTTAACATTATGTCTAAGATACCTAGAGCACGGCCAAGCGTGGAACTGCAACCCAGTGACCCACGGTGCTCTTCACCTGCACGTCTTAATCTCAGCTCACTGCAATCCTCAGGCATTGATTTGATACCAAAGCGATAAGCGACTGACAGTCAAAAAAGGTGTAATAATTTCAGTAAGAATTTGCTGAATTCTGGTTGCTGTGGTGAATGCAGGACAAAGAGATTGGTCAAATTTAGTCTGTATAATTTTAATATCCTGCAGGGCAAGTGCAGGAAGCATATAAATGGGGTTGGTACCAATGAGATAAAGCGTAACCTCTCTGAATAAAAATAACCTTTTGCCTTCATATTGTTAATAAACAAACTTTCTGAGCTTCGCTGCCTCAAGTTCTGAGTCCTGTCAGTACTGAGCCCTGAATGCATTTCACATACCTGGGTTGTAAGAGCTCTAGCTGGGAAAGCAGAGAGCGAGGAGAGCTGTGAATATACAGCAGAGCCCTTGGGAGCCTCTTCTGTAAAAGGCAGCGTGGAGAGGGCACGTAACGCTACTGAAAAGGGCCGTTTCCATCATGCTGCTTCAAAATTTCCTACTTGTCTGCAAAAGGCACACAAAGCGGGCCAGCTCAGCCCTAGGGCTCCCTCGCCAGCGAGGGGTGAGCCAGAGCCAGGCACAGTTGCGGTTTTGGTGATGTTGGTATCTCTTTACTGCAGAGGTCAGGCCAAGCCCAAAGCTGTTCAGCAGACGAGGAGCAGTACCTGGGAAGCAAGCCAACGCTGCTGCCTGCGCACCAGAGCTGAACCCAGGGTGGCAAAGGTGGCCCTGCTCCCTTTTCTGTGCAGGATCCTGGGATCCGATTCAACCAGAGAATCTGAATCACAGAGAAGTGCGAGCAGTGTGCTGGGCTTGGTGCATACTGTCCACCTCAGCACACATCTGCTCATGGTGTCCACCTGGTTACATCCAGTCCAGAGGGTTTTTCCCTCCAAGCCTGCCACAGCTGCCCTGTTTCTCCCAAACACTGTCTAGCTTGACGCTGGTTGCAGCTCAGTTCTCTGCTTGGTGCATTTCTCTTCCCAGAACTTACACAGTTCCTCTTTGGCAACTGCAACATCCTGAGGAGACGACTTTTGCAGCTCAGCTATACACTGCCTTGAGAACCACTCTTCCTTCCTTCATCCCAAACCTGCCATCACGGGCATCCTCTAGACCAGGACTTGTGCTTGCCCTGAAACAAGGATGGAAAACTGTCTCCAAATCCTGTCCACCTCTTCCTGACCTGGACTGATGGCCTCAGTCTCGCTGTGTCACTGCCAGTAGTGCCCTTCAAAGCATTCCCTCTGGCAAGTTTCATAAACCTCCTGCTTCTCAAGACCCTGTCACAGATCCAGATGTTGCTGTGAACAACAGAGAGGGGTTTACCTGCCCCTTGCACCAGAGGACTGCAGATTTGGTAGCTCTTGTCACTGTCTGAACCTGTCACCAGACCCTGGGAGGTCACCTCTAGCCTCTGGGATGCTGGAGCAGGAGGCATCACCTTGACATTCCCACCATGCAACTCCAAAGATCAAAACAAGGATCTTACCAGAACTGGCTGCCCAGAGGCGGGCCAAGGAGGAGGAAGAGGTGAGAAAGTTGAATTCCTGGAAGACAGTCCTCGGTAGGCAGGCAAGGGTTCGCCAAGAAATCCAAATGCAGCTCCACAGCAAGGGAAACAGTTCAACTTGCAATTGTATATGGCAAAATTGTACAGCCTTCTCTGACAGAACCCATCTTCTTAAAAGGGAAAACCAAGGTGCATGAACTGCTGCAACCCTCCCCAAAAAAAGCAGGGGAGGGCTATTTGGATCCTTCTTTGCAGCCTCCACTCCCTGAGCAGGTAAATTAGGTGATTTAATTCTCCAGCCAACTTCTACATGAAAACTTTCCTTGTTCCACAAGAGGCTTCAAAAGCCGAGATCCATCCCCCTCATCTTACAAACACACGTGGCAACCTCACAAGTTGAGTGTGAAGTGGCAAATGATTTTATTATGCAGTTAGTAAAAGGCACTTTTTTTTTTCTTTTTTTAAAAGACGTGCAGGGACACAGTTCCCTCCTGCAGGTTCACCTGCTGATTACGCTTTTAAAGTGCTCCATTACAACTGTGAAAATACCAGCACTTCACACCAAAAAATTGAACGTGTGCTTTTATCGAGTCCAAAGTGGTGATAAACCAGCTGTTTCACAAGAGCGATTCGATGTGAAAAGGCAAAGCGCACAAACTGTTGCTAAAAAGTAGTGGGAAAATACGTGAAGAATTTTGCAGGAAAGTAAAGTATCAGAGAAGGGGGCCTTGGTATGGATGCTGCTGGTTTGGGATCCGACAGACGTCCTCCAAATCACACAGAAAGAACACTGTGGAGAAGGCACGTGTTCCCTCTCTAATGAATTTTTGGATAAATTTTGGATGGTTACGTAGGCTCAAAAGTACTCTGCTTTATGATATGTATTCTGCAATATTCAGTAGTAAACATGAGCCTTTTCACAAGGTGAAAGGATTTGGGGAGATTTCCTTACCCACAGCAAGTTAAGAGCAATTCTCAGGGCTGAAAACTGCAGCTTTCACAGGGAGGTGCCAGGTCTGTACAAAGCCCTCACTGACATGAAAGCTGAGGGAAAAAAAAAAAAAGCAGCTTACCAGGGGCTCCTGATGGGGAATCCCATGTTCTTCACCCTGCTTGCGGGGAGGTTTTGGACAAGTTGCCACATTATTTTCAAATGGGGAGAACAGCCCCCACGTACCCTCTCCCAGCAGAGGACAAATGCATTTAAGAGTGCCGTCCCTCCCTCTGACAGAGAAAGCGCTGGGCACTGAACAAGCGATTAACATCTCCAGTTCACCTGGAGCGCAGCCCTGCCAGATAAAACTCAACACCTCACTCTTGCATATATTTATTGTCCTTATTGTTTAAGGGAGGCACTTGCATTTTTGAGTAAAGTGTTAGGAGGGACAAGCAGCTGTCTGCCCCGTCACAGGGCTGAGGGACCCTTCCCACTGCAGGCCGACCTCCAGGCATGACGGCTGCGCTGCGCAGCCAGACTCTGGGCAGCTCATCTCCCTCCCGCTCCCCTGCCAGCAGGAAGGCCATATTTTGGGAAGCTGTGCCGAACAGTAGGAATCCAGGAGGATTAAGTCACTGGACACAGTAAAGCAGGGAAGAAAAAACAGCCTGGATTAGGAGCGCAGCCCAGCTGTCAGCACTAGGACACTGTGAAGCTTTAAAGCCCACGGCATCCTTGTGGATCTCGCCGGATTCAAACCGTGCCAGCCCACGGCACGAGCCTTCTGCTTGTGCAAATCTACCACCAGATCGCCAAACGTTTTGCCCAGTTGTGCCTTCCTGCCACAGCTCCCCCAGCAAACCATGGGAGGGTGGCAACACTCGGAAGTCTGCGCTGGTGTCTTTAGAGCTTAAAAAAACCAGAAATCCTCTAGCTACAGTAACCCTCAACTACAGAAAAGTAGTTTTGTTACTTTTGTGCCCCTGTGCTCTTGGGAGGGAGTAGATGAGATGGTGAACAACCGCAGTGGCAGAAGTGGGCAGCTCGTCTGGCGATTACTAAACTCTGCCTTGAGCTCAAAGAGCTTGCCAACAGCGACCGAGCAGGGCTGCTTCTGCCCCCAAAAGCTGCCCTGGGCAGGGAGAAGCTGGGGATATTTATTTGGGTTTAAGGATTTTATCTTAGACATCTTGCAGCCCAATCTCCTCACATTCCAAGCTGATCCCTGGGCATATCAGGGAAATTACAGACTGCAATTTTAAATGCAACCTTCATGATAACCCAGAGCATCTCAACCACTGGGTATGGCCTCCCATACTCTGGCGTGCAGAGTCAATCCTATTGCAGTCCCAGCCTGGATGCAAGTTTCCTATATTCCTATTCCATAGCCAGGCTCAAAAAATATAGCCTGAAGATCAAAGGTGCCCAAAAATCCTGTGCAGGACTGAGTCCACTTAATGCTGGCATTGTGTGAAATGTTCCTCTTAAAGCATAATCCCCCTTTCCCTGGCTGGAGGGGGGTGAAATGAGGTTGATCCTCAAGAAAGCTGGTTAGCTGTGGCTCTTCCCTGACCCTCAGTTTCATCCCCAGGGTGTCAGCACTGCATAAAGCAATCCCAGAGCCCATCCCTGGCCCTCAGGACTGGGGGAGGATGATCTGAAGCAAAGGACCAAAGCAGGAGAGCTCCCGGGAGAGGGGATAGGTCACCCATGGTCTGGCCTGGCACGTTCTCATCACAGGGGCATCTCTCGTCACGAATGAGCAGAAGGCAGTGTGACTTGCTGCACCGGGGTCCTGCCCGCGCACCCAGCACCAGGGGGAAAGGAGCAGCAGAGACGAGCAAACATTCCAGCAGCAAAGCCAGAGACACCAAGTAAGGCAAATTCAACAGGAGGCACCTGGTGAAGGCTGCTGCACTGACCCTAGGGCACGTTTTCAAGCCAAGGTAAGCAGAGCCAACAAAATCAGCTCCAACCTCTCCTCGCTGCGCTGCCCGGAGGGACCCCAGGGGTCACCCTTTGGACCACCAGGACATGTTTTCCTGGGGCCTCCTGGGACCAAACGAGGAAGATGTGGAGAATCGCCATGAGGACTTTCTTTTTTGACTCAAGGGATCACTCCCTGAATGAGATCCTCCCTATGGGTGTAAAAGGAGAAGGTTACAGGCAAGAAGATGGTTGGGAAATCGGGAGGAACATACCCAAACCCAACAGCATCAGGCAACCAAGGCCTCTTCCAGCAAAATCTTCCAGAAAGAGATTTAACAACACCCCTGCTGTCCCCCACTGCTGCTCTTCAGGCTTCAAACACGTTGGCCGAATCCCTGCTACAAAGAGGAATCGTGCAGGCTGAGTGACGGTTGTAGCATCCCATGCACTCCAGCTCTATTTCTGCAATCGAGCGTACACCAGAAACGCCACAGCTGAAATCACAGCGATGCCCACAGCTGGAACGATGTACGGCAGGGATGGTCCGTTGTTGGACCCTGGGGGAACCTCGGTCTGAGGCGAGCTGGTCGTAGCACCGTGGCCCCTGCTAGAGTTAAAAACTGGAGAGTTTCCAAGAGGACCAGCTCCATCTTGAAGGTCGCTGCCTGCCCCGAGCTGGGTGCTGGGGTAATGGTCCACATGGACCTCGTGGCTGCCCAGGGAGGTGCTGTCCCAGCTCAGAGGCAGACGGGAGTCTTTGCTTGCTCCAGCTGCCTCCTCTCCCCCGGGCTCTCCATGAACCGCTGGAGCCGGGCATCCTGAGGAGACTCTAGAGAGCGCTTCTCCGGAGCTCAAGCTATCCGTGCTCACCATGAGTGGATCGCTCCTGAAGGTGAGGCTATCGGATGTCCCGAGAAAGGGACCGCCGGGCCCCCGAGAGCTCGGGCATCTGTCAGCCACCTCTGGGCTCTCCCCAGCCACAGAGAGGAGGACGCCTGGCTTGCTAAGCTCCACATCCCTCTCCACATTGCTGCAAGGCGCCCAGATGCTCGTGGCAGAGCTCACGTGGGAGGCCGTTCTCCCAGACATGCCTTCAAAGCTTCCTACAAGACTTGTGCCCAGGAGAGGGTCCGCCGAGGCCAGGAGCACCTTTGGGAGACAACAAGAAGGGCTGGGTGCTATGGGGAGCATCCATTTAGCCTGGTCTCAGGCACCTTTGTCATGCAACAAGCCCACTCCAGTGCTCAACCACCACATCTCCAGCCACAGACAGTGAGGTTGAGTCACAGGTAACTCCCAGGGCTGGGAAAGTGAGGGAAGGGAGGTGTTGGGGCTCCAGGTGGCCTTTGGGATTTGGGGGAGATACAGGAAAGAAGAAAGGGGAGACAAGCAGCAAGGAGAGGGGTGGAAAGAGGCACCTGGAAGCCAGGAGACTGACTGACAAGTCAAGGAGAGGAAATCAGGAGTCAAAGCCTGACAAAACTTGGCTCCATGCTCCCATGCTCCAAAAATACAGCGTCTAGATGGGGACATGAACACAGTGGGGAAAAAAAGCCCTGAATAAACTTGCCACCAGCTCAAAATCTTACACTGCAGCAGAAAAACTCCTGACCACAGGGAGTTTGCAAGGACCCAAATGAAATGCAAGTGGCAGCGGGAAAGGTCACCTACTTTCTCCTTCATTGGCACGGAGGGGGTGCTGCTGGCCGTCTCCCCCACAGGCAGTTTTCTCTCTTGTACAGGAGGCTTCACGGAGGTGTCACAGGATGGGGAAGCGTCTCTGGGTGCAGGGGTAGTGACCAGGGTAGCTGTTTCCATGCAAGTGTCTGTCGGGGAGAAAACAAAATGTATTGCATTAATCAGGAGACCTAAAAGGTGAGTTTTGCTTTTCCTCAAAGACGTTGCAACAGGAGACTCCTAGAGCCAAGGAGGTCGCACAGGGAGCAGGACCCAGCGCCTATGTGGCCCTGGCTCTGTCGCGGCACCCGAGCCCTGCCGGTAGATGCAGGCAAACCAGATGGCACCAGCCAAGCCAGCACCTCTAATCTGTTCCTCCCTTCAAGAGTGGGGCGGCCCCAGGCTGCCAAAACAGGGGTGCAGACATTCAACCAGGGCGTTTTACATCGGAAATGAAGCAAGTGCCTCTGCCAACTCCTGGTACAGGACGTTGTGCCAAAACACAGCAGAGCAACAACTGCAACAACTGGAGGGAAAACAAGCAGCCAGGCTGGACTTCTGCACAACCCAACCTCTCTCCCTTCCTGGAGGAGGTCACTGCAGGTCAGGAGATGGGTTCTCTCGACAGCTGGTCTCTGCACCTCTATGAGTGCTCACGGGCCACAAAGGCAGACACAACCTTGGGCTGTGCTGTACCAACAGCCACAGCTACCACCATCCTTTGGGGGTTCCCCACGGCCTCCCAGCAGGGCCCTAGCCCACACCTGCACCTTCTCTGCCAGTCTCCATCCTCACCATCAAGCAGGACAGGCATCTGGCACCACCTTCAACCCTGCTCCCCATCAGCACGGTGAAGGGAAAGGAAACCCACCTCCACGCCCTCCGTGCTCTCGTGGCATCCCGATCTGCTTCTGCTCCGCATCGAACTGCTGCTGTATGAGGATGGGGCTGCGCACATCCACACAGCTGCCCAAGGGCTCACCGTGCTTGCAGCCAGGCATGGCCTGGTTTTTTGGCAGCGAGTCTGGGCCCTGCAGGCCCCTGCTGCGAGCGGTCTCCTCCAGCCTCAGGGGTGACTCAGTGGAGACATAGAAGTCCTCTTCGGGCTCATTCCTGGGCTGCTGGGGGCTGCGATCAGAGCCCACATCCCTCAGCGGAAGTGACCTGCCCAGACCCAGGCCTGGCGCACCAGAGTGCAGGTGGCTGGCATTCCCAAAACACCCGTTGTCCACACACACCGGGTGCTGCTGGCGACTCGGCGAGGCCCGGCCCCGCTCAGGGGGGGCAGCTGATGGCACGGCCACGCTGGTTGCCCCAGGGGTCCCTGGTGCTGCCTGCGTGGTCTCGATGGGGGGCAAGGGGTGCCCCTCACCACCGTCCCCATCACTCACTCCATCATGGACCACGTTCCCAGGCAGAGGCAGCAGGGGACTCTCTTGCTCCAGGAGGTTTTTGGGGAGCTGGAACGAAACGAGCTGTGTTAAATCGCTGTGCCAGGATGAGGGGGTCTGAGACTACCGGGTGCCCCAAACCTTGACCCAGTGACCCACGCGAGCCTGATGATGAAGGGAGTCTCTCCGTGGCACCCACCACACAGCTCGCAGGAGGCCTGCATGGGGTCAAGGGCTGTGGAGGGGACCCTGGACTAACAGAGTAGACCCTGCACTCCCATACATGGAGGGGAAGCAGGAGAGGGGAGCAATTATAGGGCCGTATGTAGGCTATAAGTAACCAGATGCAGCAAGCATGCAGCAGACATCACCAGCAAGTGGCTGCTTGGGGCGTCCCTGAACGAGCCTGGCGCTCCCACGGGCTCCCCACACCCCACTGCACAAACGCTCTGGTCCAAAAGGGACCTTTGTGCCCCCATCTGATGCGTGCCCTGCTCACCGATTCCTGCACCGGGGCCCTGGCGTCCAGGTCCGTGCTCGCAGCGGTGGCAGCACGGGGCAGGAGAGGCGAATGGCCACTGATGGG